CAACAAAAAAGTAACACCCCTGCTGCACCCCTGAAGATGGCAGCGGCTGGTGCCCCCAGCCAGAAACCCCGAAGCATGAGAAGAGTCGAGGCACCAAGCTGTGCACACACACACACACACACACACACCCCAATCTCATGGGCTCGCAGCAGCTGCAAGCTACAAAAAACCCCCAGAATTTCATCACAAGCAGATTTTCTTGAAAAAAGCAATTCCTGGTAACAACACAGGTTCAAGCCTGTGTCCCATCTCCACCCTCATTGCTTCCCAGCAGCCAACAGGCTCGGTGTCCCCTGGGCTTTTTTTCTGAGCTACAGATTGAATTTACCGACTGCTCTGCAGCCTCTGAGCAAAAAAATATTAATTATTCTAAGGATGGGCAATGCAGAAATCCAGGATGATTTTATGATAACTGCGTGAGGCTTTTTCCACCGCTGTCCTGCAAACTGATGAGTGCGGGTGATGGCACTGCTTCCTCTGTCTGCCTGCAAGCTTCTGGACCACCCAGGGTCTCATCCTGCATGTTGCTGTGCATTGCCAAGCCCAGCCCCAGCGGCGGCCGCCAGAGACCACCAGTGCTTCATTTGGGACCTTGTGTGAAGCAAATGGTTGGACCACTCCAGTGAAAGCAGCTTCAGATAGAAATCCAAATTGCCTTTGCAAGAAAACCCAGCCAGGATGACTTTGGAAGCTGACTCAAGGTGCTGGGAGGAAAGAGCTCAGCACCGCAGAGACTGGCTTGGCCAAATCTCTCTGCTGCAGGGAGAAATCAAGTTGCCAGCGTGGGCCTTGACCACGTTCTGGCACCAGGACCACAGAGGGCCTTTGCCTCAGTGTGTGCACAGGGCTGGGCTCGTGCACCCCTTCCTCAACCGCAGCATCCCCAAATCCCCTCCCCGGTTTCTTGACCCAAAAGTAGGCATTGGCTCTGCCATGATATTTTGGCCACAGAGCCCACCGTAGGGATCCCTCACTCCTTCCCAAAGGCATTCTCAAGTGGTTTTCATGCTGGAGATGGATCCCGTGGTGGAGGAGAGCCGTGCAAAGCCTGGGCAGAGGCAGGAGATAAGTCAGGAAATCACACAGCCAAGCTGTCCCACAGCACAGAGCCCGGCACAGGCGTCAGAGAGCTCTTTACCACCCGTGAGAGGAAACCAATGACGTTGGGGTGGGCAAAGGAACCTGAGCAAGAGCAAGATTGTTTCCTCCAGCCTGCACTGCTCCGTCCGCCTCTTGGCCCACACTTCACCTCCTGCAAGGCTTGCGCCAGCAGAATGAGCCCATGTGGTTTAAATCCCCTCCAGACCTGGATTTTGGGTCCCATGCTGCCAGATCCCCCCGTTTCCCACCCTACCCAGAGCCGCTGCTCCAGCCCCAGAGCCCCAGCCCTGGTCACGCTCCCACAGCATCCCTCTGTGACAACTTTGCAAATCACTTCTTGCAAATCATTTGCAAACCATCAGCTCTCTCGAAAGCATTAGCTGGGGGTCAGCTCCCCCCACCGAGGCCAGAAGTGGGTTTGGGTCTGGGCAGTACCCAAAATCACAGCTGGGCTTGGCCACAGGCTCCCCAGCAGGCCCAGCTTGCACCTGAAAGGCTGAAGCAGAAGCAGAAGGGCATAAAGAAACAGTCACTGTACCTATTTTTGCAGCATCCATTTTCAGGTTGAAATCCCAGTTCCGTGGCAGCTTGAGGGACATTTTAGATCAGGAGGGGCTTTTTTTTTTTTTTCAAGGGGGAACTTGCTTAGGAGACGGGCTGAAATGAAGCTCTGATAGTCCCCTGGGGATCCTGCGTCCAGGGTGCGATCCCCCCCACGAAGAGCGACGGCTCAGCAAGGGTTGATTTGCCAATGTACTTCCTCCTCCCTCCTCTGAGAGCGGCTGTGAACAACCCCATAAAAGTACTTTCCTGCCCTGCTTTCCTGCAAAGCTCTCGTCTTGCTTCCCTGACGATGCCGAGGTGATGCCGCCTTTTTTGCTCCCCTTTTTGCTACCCCCTTTGGCTGATGTGGAGGCGCAGCAGCCTGGCCCCAGCCCGCGCTGGAGTGTGGCTGCCTGGGGTTGCTCTCCGCACGCTGCTCATTGCATTTGAGGAAGTGGGTGTCCTTCTGGGTGCCGCGGGTGCACTAGAAAAGCGCTCGCCGAAGGACACAGCCCAGCACGGAGTTTTGGGAAAAGTTTTGCTCAGCAGCAAAGCAGAGCGGGCTGCGGCTCAGGTGGCCACGGCCAAATGCTACAGGATGGTGCCTCTGAATGTCCCGATGCATCCCTGTGCGCACGGCCCGGATGTCACGGGTACCTTTTGCATTTTCTTATTGCAACTGCTGAGTAGTCCCCACAGCTGATTTAAGGGGTTTGCACCCATTTTGTAACAGCAGTACGAGCAAAATGGGGATGAAATGAGGCTGCTCGTGGAGGAAAGGCCAGGGGATGTGGGTACCGACCCTACCAGATCAAGCAAAGCGCCCTTCCCTGCTCACAACAGCGAGTGTGTCCAGTTTCATGTCATTTAATGCTGTTTTTCTTCAAAAGAAAGGGCTGTGCATCCGCAAAGCAGACTGCAGTGCAATTAGAGTGAGATGCAGCTCGCGAGACGCAGGATAAATGCAAGGAAGGGTTGTTGCATTCACAAACACCCAAATGGAGCAAAAAGCAGCGAGGGTGGCTGCAAGATGTGGCAGCGTGTCCCAGGGGGCTAATGGTGGGCTCCAGCCCCGTTTTCCCCCCGTACGGGGAAAGCCCAGGCCCTGCGGAGAGGGAAGTTGCCCTGAACAGAAGCAGAAACAGTGACGTGGGGAGTGCAGGCAGCTGAAAGAGGACGCGGCCATCAGTTCCCGTTCTGATCTGCAGCCCAGCCGTCGTGCCTGGGATGCACCAGCACCCAGACGCTTGCAAGGGCTTTTTTTAAGTCCCGTAGCATAAATTGAGGATGTGCCCCTCAGGGAAGGAGCCGGAGCCTGTGCTGACTGCCTGGTTGCGGCACAGCCAGGGTGGACCCTGCTGGGCTAATTTGGGTTAATCGCAGCTGAAAAATGAATTTGTTGCTTTGAGCAGTGACTGGAGCCAGCTCAGAGATCCCTGGCTCACATATTCCGCAGCCGAAAGCCCAGGGAACATGACGGCGTGGAAAGCGGTGTGATTGCAAGGGAGCAGCCCAGCACGTACCCAAGCCTGAACTGGGTTAACCCCAAGGGGGTTGGCCTAGATGATCTCTAGGGGTCCCTTCCAACCCAAAACTTTCTAGGATTCTATGATCCTGCTTTGGACCCAAACTGCCTGAATTTACTCCGTTTCTGCTGTACCCCGAGCGAAGGACCCTGAGTGAGCCCTGAATTCAGCAGCATTTTTTCCTCTTCTTAATAACGTCTGCAGAAAGCTATAGGAGCCCTAGGGAGTCGTGCATTTTGATTCTTTTTTTTCTCTTCAACCTGTTTTGGTTTTTTTTTTTAACGAAAGCCCAACAGCAGCTCGTAACGAGCCGCCTTTCCCCACCTGCCTGTGTGAACAGGATGTCACGCGGCACTTTCCCCTCCTCCGGAAAGGAAACAGCAAGCGTTTGAGCCCAAAATCGTGCAGTTCAGCCCAAGGCTGCGTGGCTACGCTGCCGCAGCTCAGCCCTCTCTGGCGCCCCAGAACAGCCCTTCGCAAGCGCCCGGAGAGCTGTTCCAGCTGCCTCCTGCTTGCTCCCGTCGGGTACCTGGTGGCTGCCTCCAGGTTTGGGAAAGGACATCACGAGATCAGGGGGGGTTTTTTGTTGTTGTTTTTAGCAATCAAGCTGGGTGGCCTGGTCCTGAACCGAACGCCCCAGGGGAACTTAAAAAGGGCAAATCTCAGGCCATGAAGTTGTTTGGTTTGGTTTTCTATCCCTCTTCTATCAGGATGTCATGGAAAATGCGTCTGGACAGCGGGTTGCGTGAGACCCGCCGGCACAGAGGCAGCCTTGGCTTGAGGCTCTTTCTGGGTACGGAGCACAGCTAGCACCGGGCTTCCCACTGGGAATTTGCAGGTTCTGATGTTTGATTTAATTAAATTGGCACAGGCCGGGGAGAAAAAAAGGCGGGCTCTTCAGCTGAGCAGCTGGAATGCGAGCAGCGATGCAGATACGCCGGCGCAGAGGCTGTCAGATGATGTGTCTGACTCAGCGAGCCACGGGCACCGGCGCTGCCCCGCCGGCAGGCCGGGCCGCCGCCCC